AGATATGGATATAGGGCCTCATCCCATAAGGGGGGGGGGGGGGGAGAGGGACTGGAACCAAATCCCAGCAGATTCCAAGGGCCCATTGTACATACCTTTTGCTGTGCTGTAATGCTTTTCTCATACACAAGAAACTTCTTCAGAAAGCTTCCACTTTTTGCCCAATCATTGTTTTGAAAGGGGATTCAAGACTTATAAACTATTATATTTATAGATTTCCTGAATTAAAGCACATATGGCTTGAATTATTTAAATTCTAATATTTGATAGTGTTGTTAGGCCAAGTTTATTCTAAGGTGGATTGCTTCCCCAACCAAATACTTTGCAGATTTGGAAATTGCATGACTTGACTAGTAAACACAGCAGATAATGTTTCACCTTATGTATCCTGAAGACCTAAAGGTCGGTGGTTCGAATCTGTGAGATGGGGTAAGCTCCCATCTGTCAGCCCCAGCTTCCCATGCAGGACATGAGAGAAGCCTCCCACAGGATGGTAACACATCCAGGCATCCCCTGGGCAATGTCTCTGCAGACAGCCAATTCTGTAGTTTCTCAGAAACAACTTGCAGTTTCTCAAGTTGCTCTTGACACAACAAATATATATATAAAGTGTATTCTCAATTCACTTCTTGCACAATACAAAATAAAGCAATTTTAAGTTGAAGTTGAAGAATGTTGTGGATTTGTGTAGATGCCTGAAAAAGTCTTACTTTAATTTGAGATGCTACTACATTGGTGGCATACTATATTGGTGGCGTGCTTTGGTCCCAATGCACGTCTACTGAATTTCAAGGCAGCAGTATTTCCTTATTGCTTTAAGCAAGATTTAAACTTGGCTTTTGTGAAAATAAATAATAAATTTCATCATGAAAAATACCTAAGAATTTCTTAAACAACAATAATACAAGAAATTGTCACACCTTTAATTGGGTTGCATTTTATTGAAACTCCAAGGCTGTGAGATTCTATTAGGAAGGGTCTGGGTGTTGGAGGGAAGGTCTTCTACAAGAATCAAGAATAGCTGCTGAGGAATTATTTTTTTCTATCTTCCCAAATACAGCCTTCCTCCCAGCAAACTCTGTTTAGTGGATTATGTACTTGCTCCTTGCCTGCAGCATGTGTACAACAGGAGCAACTTTCCTATTTTGATTACTTTGACAAAATGGCAAGGCCAAGCGAGAGGAGTTTCCTCCTGTTTCACTGATTGTTTGCCCTGGAGTGCCAATTTGACCGAAGGTTTTTCTGGTGTTTTTTCATTAGCTAGTCCCTTCTCCAAAAATACAATGTTACTGTTTTAATGATCGATTGGCCTTTGAACTCAATCATTCCCACAATAGCCAAAGCCATACAGCAGAAACAGAAATCCAATAATAAGTTACTTTAAAAGGTAACACGACACTGCTCCACACTTTAAGAACATTATTTCATGCCCCAGGCCCTTTTAGGTCTGCTTTCCCCTTTTCTTTTCTTTTTTGATCCACTTGTCTCTCCTATGTGGAACTACTGGACTGTGTATCTCTTCTGTGAATATTTTTCATGTAGAAGGAAGCAGGGAAAGGAAACCATACTAAATTGCAGTATTCTGGGATCTTTATCATCCTTATGAAGAAGCTTGGCCCCCTATTAGTGTTCCACTAGGCATGTGTGGGTTTGAGACTCTCAAAACCACTAATGTCATGCTCGGGAGTAGGGTGCTAGTGATTCTAGTGATTCCACTACATTTTGCTTTGTTTGCTCTTGAAGCTTCCAATTGCTTGATTGTTGTGTTGTCGAAGGCTTTCATGGCCGGAATCACTGGCTACTGTGAGTTTTCTAGGCTGTATGGCCATATTCCAGAAGCATTATCTCCTGACATTTTGCCCACATCTATGGCAGGCATCCTCAGAGGTGGTGAGACCTCACTACCTCTGAGGATAACTGCCATAATTGTGCATGAAATGTCAGGAGAGAATGCTTCTGGAATATGGCCATACAGCCTGGAAAACTCACAGTAACCCACTGCTTGAATTTTGGTTGGGAGAGGGATCTTGTGACTAGAGGGGAAAAAATGGCAATTGCATTTCTGCCATAGGAGATTAAATGAAAAACAGTAATAGACCTTCTGCAGTTTCTAGATTTATATGGCAACTGATAACTTTCCTTTGCAGGCCAACCTTCCACTTCTGCAAAGGGAGCTACTGCATTGTGCTCGGGCAGCCAAACAGACCCCTTCTCAGTACCTAGCCCAGCATGAACACATCCTTCTGAATACAAACACTGCCTCCCCAGCTGATTCTTCGGAGCTGCTGATGGAAGTGAACGGGAATGGAAAGAGGCATAGTCCAGACAGGTAGCAAAAGCTTTCTTCCAAAGTGCATTGCCTTTTGTAAAAGATGTCTGTGGGACGCCTTCTGCCAGTCTTCCCCGTGTAATAGCTTGACAGATGTGTTGAGCTATAATTCTCATCAGCTCTATCATGGCTTAGGCATGATGGGAGACATAGCCCAGCACACCTGGAGTTCCCTAAGTCTTCTATGAGAAAATAGATCATGGTCTGTCATAAAACTTGTGATCTCTGCAAGTGTTTGGGGTTTTAGTTTTTGTGATACTTTCCCACGTATTTTTGACACACTGGAGACCCAATTTCTCAGTTTCCTTTTTTTCAGAACAGAGATACAATGGAGGGAAGAATTAGGATCATGTAAACCAGGGTTCTCAACCTTTGGGTCCCCAGGTGTTTTAGTCTACAACTCCCAGAAATCCCAGCAATTTGTCAGCTGTTAGGATTTTTGGGAGTTGAAGGCCAAAACATCTGGGTCCCCACAGGTTTAGAGCCACTGATGTAAACAAAGGTGTTGCATTTGCATCAAGATCGATTTGAGTTGGAAATAAGGATTTGATGGCAAAAGATAGGTCAAATTAGAGATGTCAACTCGTTATATTGAATTCATTGTTTTGAGAGCTAGTGTGGAGTAATGGTTAAGTGTTGGAATACAACTATGGGAGAACAGTGACCTTGGGCAAGTCTCTCTGCATCAGAGGAAGGCAATGGCAAGTCTTGCTGAGAAAACCTTATGAGAGGTTCATCTTAAGGTTAACCTAAGTTGAAAATTATTTGAAGACACACAGCAGCAACCGTTCTGTTTCTCATTTGTAACCAAGTCATAGAATCTTATTTAATCCTAGTGTATATATGCATCTGAGTTGAATTAACACAGATACGTTTCTCTGAATTCCTTAACAAATATTTAGCCCCCTACAGGAAGCTTAGAGCACAACCCTTTTTATCTCTGAGTAATTCTCATAGGAAATTTGGTTGGTTATTTTTGGGATGAGTTAAGGTACATCTGAAGAAGCATATTAGGAATAGGGAGACAATACTATAATGCTGTTCAGCATTGCATAGATTTACCCCTAAGTCAATAGATGTTTCACTTTTTGGCTAAGTAATTGTGTCCTCTCCCTGAAATTAATGTTTTTCACAGTCCAGAGAGTTCAGGAAAAAAAAATGGTGATTGACAGAACATACTACACTTTGAGAATAGAATAATAAAAAGTGCATGATTTGGGACAGATGAGGGGACATATTATTTTGCAAAGTACATAACTAAAATGTAGGCTTTGCTATTCAAAGTACAGCTTTTGCTGTCTCTGTGATACTAGATTAAATAATTTTTAAAGGGATTAGATAATGATACAGACTTTAAACCATGATTGATTTTACTTATTGTGTATCTATATCATTTGACCTTTCTTTTGCCATCAAATCCTTATATCTAACTCAAATCAATTTTCAAATCCTCTCTTGATAGCATACAAAGTATAATAAAAGCAAAGTATAAAAAATCAATAAATCAATTAATAAATCAAATGTTAAAATAATGACTCAAGAAGCTAAACTAATATCAGCAACAAATGGGAACAACTTTTAAAGATTGAGAGAGCACAAAAGGGCCCCATCGCCCTAGTAAAACTCAAGCGTAAAAAGAACTGAGTTTCAAAATCATGTGTGAATACAAATGTCCTTGTCTGGTGCCAAACCAACATGAAAATAGGCACAAAGCAAGGCTTTCTTTCGGCTGTATTGCATGTTTTAGGTTTTAGGTGCACAGTGGAGAAGGACCTCTTTTCATAATCTCAGGTAGATGCATATCAAAAGAGGACAGCTTACATAAGGCAGCTACAAGCTATGGAGCAGAGCATTAAAGGCCAAAATTAGCAGTGTAAAAGTAGATTAAGAGAAGATGGTGAAGTACTGGTGTACTGTACTCCAGCCTGGTCGTGCAGTCAGACTCTGTAGTGTTTGAATTTTCTTGGCTCTTTTCAATGGCAGCCTCATCTACAACCTATTGAGGTAATTTAAAAGAGGGGGATACCATGGCGTGGAGCAGTCCAATGATATTTTTGCCCACTGGATTCCCAGAAGTATCTGGCTGAACACTGTGGACCAAGCTAATCATGACGCAAAACATGTCTGGGTGTGTTTCTGTTTCTGACCTTAATAGCAGGATTGGAGAGGAGTTGTTTTTCACTCATGCCACCACAACATTAGAGAGGAGAGTTTCATTCTGGAAGATGTCATTGGTACTGCTGTTTGCCCTAATTCGGTGCCAAGTTGAAACTAAACATCACTAAAGCCTTTGGAGACAATTGACCGTACATTGATTGGATTGTGCATTTCACCTTTAGGGTATTTGTTGTTGTTATTGTGTGTTTCTAAGTCATTTCCGGCATACAGCAACCCTAAGATGAACCTATCATGGGGTTTCAGCATGATTTTTTCAGAAGGAAATTGCTTTTGCCTTCCTTTGAGGCTGAAACAGTGAGATATCCCAAAGTGGGCTTTCATGGCAGACTGGAGATTTGAACCCTGGTCCTTGGAGTCATTGTCCAACATTCAAACCACTACACCATGCTATCTCTCATATAGTAAGTGTGTGAGTATATGTGCCTTGAAATCCTCCTTTGATTTATACTGACTCCATTAATTTTCTTAGGCCCCTTCCACACAGCTGAATAAAATCCCACATTTTCTGCATCAAACTGTAATATATGGCAGTGTGGACTCAGATAACCCAGTTCAAAGCAAATATTGTGGGATTTTCTGCCTTGATATTCTGGGTTACATGGCTGTGTGGAAGGGCCCTTAGAGTTTTCTTAGAAAAGGAATATTCAAAGGGGCTTTTGCCATATATGATGCCTTACATTATTTTCTACTGCTCTATAGCATTTTGCACAAATTTAATTTGTTTAGATCTGTTTAATTTCCTGTATCCCTGTAGCCTGAGGGGTTGTTTTTTTTTAAAAAAAAATACAGAATATGGTATATATAAATAACTCCTTCCTTATCTGGCAATTAAATAAGTGAAAGCTCTCCTTCTCCAATGTCACTACAAGTAGAGCATGCCTTATCTGTAAATTTAAAATCCTCCCAGGTGGTCTACATGAGTGGCTGAGTTAGTGACACCTTTACTTTCTGATTGTCCAATGTATGCATATTAAAACATTGTATAACATTACTTTAGGGTTATAAGTATGAGGTGTATGTGAAACAGAAATGCATTCCTCATTTAGACTTTGGCTCATCTTCAAAATAACACTCTCTCTCTACACACACACACACACACACACTATAGAATACAGATATTTTTAAAAGGCCAAAATCCAAAACACTCTGACCCCAAGCATTTCAGATTGAGGATACTTAACATGTATTGGCTTTTTAAATAGATGCTGGCAGAGGAGGAATAGATTTTGAGACCTATTGGACCTTCCATATAAACCCCATCAGAGCTCATCTTTTGTTTCTGGCTAGATGCCTGAGATTGCATTTTACTTATTTTTCTTTCCAGGGAGTTCACTTTTATAACTGTTTTGTGCTGTGCACAAAACACACCCAAATAGTGCTTCTCTCGGATGGCTCAAGATTCATTTCCTCGGATTCTCCCATTTGCTTTCTCAGCCCTAACAGCAGCCTCCCTTTCTTGACTCGCTTACAGGAGGGAAGAAAACAGCTTTGAGAGAGAGCCGCTCCCATCGGAGCCTCCTGCTAAGAGGGTGTGCACCATTAGCCCAGCACCACGGCACAGTCCAGCTCTGATGTTGCCCGTCATAAATCCAGCTGGGCAGTTCCATCCTACTCCACCCCCTCTCCAGCATTACACCCTGGAAGACATTGCAACATCCCATTTGTACAGAGACCCAAGCAAGATGTTAGAGCATAGAGAACTGAGAGATCGACATAGTATAGGTAAGGAGAACGCTTTCTGTCATATCCCTGCTTGTACAGTTCCAATTGCATTTCCTTGGCCATAACCGTTATCAACTCCCCTATTTGAAATGTAGTCTGAGAATCTCAGGAGGTCAAATTCTACCTCAAAGTAGTGTTTTCTGTTCTTGTATAAAGACATCCAGTTCCACCATATACCCCCTTAACTCCTTATTGATCTTGCAAATCCTTTGGGGTCTTGTCCAGAAATAATAGTTTCGTAGACCTTGTATTATATCAGCTTGTGGAGATACTTCTCTAACTGTACCATTTTCCTCACCATGCCTTCAGGATTAAATGGCGGTTATCAAGATGAACTTGTGGATCATCGTTTAACAGAGAGAGAGTGGGCTGATGAATGGAAGCATCTTGACCATGTAAGAAACTGCAGGAAGTATGTCTTGGTACGCTGCATCATAGACATCCATATGTTTGCTATCACAAATTCCAATATGGACAGCTTTCATAGAGAACTGGATAAATTCACAGAGGCTAAGTCTATTTGTGGCTCCTTGTCACAATGGATAATTCCTCCATGAAAAGATGTTGTGTTCTCATTTATATCACTTGCTGGGAAACGTAAGTGGAAGGGTGCTGTTGCACTCATACCCTGCTTCTGGACTTCCTATGAGTAACCAATTATCCAATATGTGAACCAACTGCTGGATAAGATACACCTTTGATTTGATTTAGCTTGGCTCTTCTTATGTTTTCTCCCCATAAATTGAGACAAAACAAAAGTATGTGTGCTCACAAACCAAGTAGACCTAATATAATGCTTATATGATCATTAGTCCAGAAAGGCTGTATTATAGTGGCTGATATTTACACCCAGACATCCTAGATGAATTTTCCAATAGCAATTTGTAAAATACTTACGTTCCTTGGAGAACCGTTGCTGGTCAAATTAGGCAGCATGGGCTAAATGAAGTAGATCAATAACACAGCCCAACCAAAGAAAAAAAATTCTTGGTGTCATGGTTTTTAAAACTGTGTCTGGGGTTATTTGGGGCTCTGATTCAGAAAATTGCATTTAATGTTCTGTATCTCAGAAACTGGAGCTGATAGAGAAGAAACTGGTGCCATTTTTGGAATCAGCAAGTCAAATATACATAGAAACAGGGCTAACATTTGAGGCACCAAAATGTGTGTTGGCCAGTGATCTGATTGGTAGAAGGAATCATCATCATCATCATCTTTATTTATAGGCCATCCTGTCTCCCCAAATGAACGCAGGATGGCTTCCAAGCAAAAAGGGAAACATTCAGTGCATTGGTATCCAAAGTGATTTTCTCTACAAGATTTGCAGACTGTTTGTCTTTAACAGGGTTGAATTTCACATAGAGGTAAACTGTTACTTTGAAACCCCCAGTAAAATGTAATTTTAAAGATTATACTACGATCCCCATGATTGCATCCTATAAAGAGCTGCTGGGAAGCACACAGTTAAGTTAGCATTTTGTATCAAACCAAGACTCATATTTCGTTCTTACAGTTGGCAAGAACTGCAAGGGAAAAGAGTCTCAAAGGATGAAATGGCTAAGATTTTTGCCAAGTAATAAGCTTTGAAAATGCTTTGCTACTGGTGGGTAGAAATTGCAAGCCAAAATCAGAGTGCTATTCTAACACTGTTTATAAATAGCTGGTGAAATATTTTCTATAGGCCCTATTCAATAAACATACCTCACATGCAGAAACATGTGACCAATAATGAGATTACATGTGCCATCTCATATGGACATTGTTCACTTGTAAGCACAGTATTGTGCCCCTTTCTGCTGTTCTGTTTTCTGGACCAAATACATAATGTGAAGATTCCCAGATTTCATTAGCAAAAGTATTTGGAGCTGTACAAGAAGTCAAAAGAAAAATGGCTAAATCTGTACTGTGGAAAATTAAAACAGAAATCTTGTTGTGCACCCAAAATCCATCTTATCCATATATTCAGCTTTTTTATACAATACAAACACTTATACTAGTTTAAGCTGCTGTTCTTTTTAAACTGAAGGTCAAAGCCACCTTTTGAAACCAATTTTTAGTGCTCTCTATAGTCTGGGTTGTTGTAGATTTTTCGGGCTGTATGGCCATGTTCTAGAGCAGGGGTCCTCAAACTTTTTAAACAGAGGGCCAGGTCACAGTCCCTCAAACTGTTGGAGGGCCGGATTATAATTTGAAAAAAAACATGAATGAATTCCTATGCGCTCTGCACATATGTTATTTGTAGTGCAAAAAAAAAAGCACTTAAAAACAATACAATAATTAAAATGAAGAACAATTTTTTAAAATATAAATTTATTAGTATTTCAAGATGGATGGCATCCTTGAAGTGACTGGATTGACCTTGAAGGAGCTGGGGGTGGTGACGGACGGCAGGGAGCTCTGGCGTGGACTGGTCTATGAGGTCACGAAGAGTCGGAAATGACTGAACGAATGAACAACAATGAAGTATTTCAATGGGAGGTGTGGGCCTGCTTTTGGCTGATGAGTTAGGATTGTTGTTGTTGTGTGCTTTCAAGTCATTTCAGACTTAGGTTGACCCTGAGCGAGGGCCAGGTAAATGACCTTGGAGGGTCGTATCTGGCCCTCGGGCCTTAGTTTGAGACCTCACAATCTCTGAGAATGCCTGCCATAGATGCAAGTGAAACGTCAGGAGACAATGCTTCTAGAACATGGCCATACAGGTCAAAAAACCTACAACAACCCAGTGATTCTGGCCATGAAAGCCTTTGACAATACATTCTCTATAGTCTATTTCCATGTACATGCAGCCTGGAATCCATTCCAGTTTGCCCATATAAGAGGAGTGCCTGGAATTAATGCAAAAAGTTTCCACAATGAATAGGCCAACAATGAACAAAGTTTTATATGTCAAACTGAATATTTCTTTCATCTTCGCACTCTCGTTTTTGACATCATTTACTCATATATTGTAAATCTGAAGAGGTATCAAGGTGGTAATACCACCTAGCATTCGGCAAACTACTTCACATAGAAAACTCTGCATGTGACAATTTTCCTTCACAGACAATTGTGTTTGGAAGAGTCCACATATTGTTTCGTTGAAAATTTATAAATCGTTGGTAATCTGTGAATGTGTCCTGAACAACATATGGTATAGGCCTTACTAGGCTTTATGGCTTTGGGTGATAGATGTTTATAAATTTTTCTATTCGAAAATGTAAAAGGTTCTCCATGTTCCAAATTAGCACATACTCAGATACAACCGTTTCCCACAATGCTAGTGTTTTGTTTGTAGAGTGCATAAGCTGTTATCATTTCTCTCAAGGGAACACTCAATAATAATAATAATAATAATAATAATAATAATAATAATAATCGTCATCGTCATCATCATCATCATTATTTATAGACTACCCTATTTCACCAAAGGGAGTTAGGGCAGTTTCCAATATATATGGCAAACATTCAATGTCAGGAAAAAGACATAATAACAAATTACATCAAACAATGCACATCAAAGAAAAATAGAACAGCCATTACTATAAACTTAGTACCAAATAGAAATTAGCAAAAAAATAAAACTTGACAACCCTAACAAACATAATCACATAGTATGTATTTATTAGGTAAATAAAACAGAGCATATATGCTATTTTCCATTGTGACCTGGTACTATCTAGCTGTGCCATGCTGTTTTTGATGATAGTATAATTTCCCTCTGAGTTACTTCTTTTAGACCCCACCCCCCACCCCGAGGATAAATGCTTATAACATTATTCTCTCCCATCCCAGGCATTGAACTGCATCATGGAAATGGTAGAGAAGACCAGGCGCTCCATGTCTGTTCTCCGCCGTTGTCAAGAGGCTGATAGGGAAGAGCTCAATTACTGGAAGAGACGGTGCAGTGAACCCACGGAGCCACGGAAAGGGGGAAGTGACATCATCACAAGGCAGCACAGCCCAGGGAGCTCAGACTCTATTAACAGTGGTAAGGAATGAAACTCAAGAGATAGCTTCTGTTAAAACTGTGTTGTCAGGTGTACGCGCATTAGTGCATTTCAGGTTGATTGCAAAAGGATAACTATCACACAACTTTTTATCACAGAAGAGTGGATGTAGGAAGTTTTTTTCATTGTAGCCCAATTGCTTAATAGGTTCCACACATCCAGATTATTATACAGTAATTTGTGCAATCTCTATTATGCTTTACCCTTTCAAGAGCGGGCTGAAGATAGGAATGCTAGTTATATATAAAATATTTGTTTCAATTAAGGGAATATAATATTTTATGGCATCTTCGGTCAATCTTCACTTTACTCAGGGTGGAATTAATGCAGATTCACACCACTTTGACTGTCATGGCTCAGTGTTATGGGGTTCAGGAATTTATAGTTGTTGAGACACCAGCATGCTAAAGATCTTGTAAAACTACAACTCCCATGATTCCATAACATTGAGCCATGTCAGGTACAGTGGTGTCAAACTGCAGTAATTCTACAATGTAGATGTACCCTGAATCTCTGTGGATCTTAGCGTTCCAGTTCTCAAAGGACTGATCCCTTAAAATTCAGCTGCTGCTTTAAGTTGCCTGCAATTCCTGGAAAACAAGGTGCTATGTAAATGCCATTAGCGAGGATTAATGTCCATTACAGCCGGAGAAAGCAGATATTTGATGAGATACATTTAGAAGTGCGTAGCCTGTGAGGACAAGAGTATTAAAAGATGGAAATGGCATGTGCTGTATAATAAATTACATGGGGCATCAAATTAAAAGCAGCCATTTTTCATTTTGCCAGGTGATGAACGCTCTTAACTTCAGAAATCGCCAGGCTCAAGCTTAATGTGATTAATCTTACCCTGTTCTCATTTGTCTAATCAGACCATCCCGGGAACTGTAGTCAACGGAGGAGCCCTTCTCTTGGTACCACTCCCGTCACAAGCTCGATTAGTGGGAATGAGAGAGAGGGTCTTTTCCCTTCCTAAAGAAGTAAAATACTGCCACTACCCTGAGTCCCCTCAGGGAAAGAAGGCAGTATAGAAATAAAGTTGTATTATTATTTATTAGATATATTATTGAGCCACCTCTTGCTGTATAGATCTTAGGAGTTAGGAGAGGGAACATTTCTGCCTCTAATATTCCTGACACTACTCTTCTTGCTACAGAATCTCAGCGGGAGTTCAGCAGCCGGTCAGGAGCACCCGCCAGTTATGTCACTGAGGAGATATGGAAAAAAGCTGGTAAGTAAAGAGATCTTCTTCAAAGGACCAAATCATTTGAGATGTCAGAGGAGAGAGAAAAACACAGGTTGATTTGAGGAAAGCAGAAATACATTGCTCTCTCATTACCTTAGCCGTAATAGTGAGACCCAACTTTCTGCTTGTTAGTTTAGGCAGCATCGTCAGCATCCTGTGAAATTCTCTTAGCCAGTCGTGCCATTAGATCTCAGTGCAATACTGGTTCTTGCCTGGGCCAGCGAAGGACATTTCGCTGCATGAGAGATTCAAGATGCCCCTCCATCCCAGATGCCATTTATAGAAGCCAACTGGAATGATAACTGAATTCTTCATCTAGAACAATGGTTCTCAACCTGTGGGTCCCCGGGTTTTTTGGCCTACAACTCCCAGAAATCCCAGCCACTTTACCAACTGTTAGGATTTCTGGGAGTTGAAGGCCAAAACATCTGGGGACCCACAGGTTGAGAACCACTGATCTAGAAGCAATTGGCTATTTTAGGAGACATAGAACAGACTGCTGAGCAAATAGTTTTCTTCCCCAACACCTTTCTGCCACTTCCTAGCATTTACCACTGGAGGTGACTTTCCTCTGCATTGGCTGATGATAGGTTCCTGCTGTTTAAAATAGGACTATCCAGGCAAATGTGACAATTAAATATGAACCAATTAAATCTGCCCCCTTTCTCCCAACACAGACTCTCAGGCAGCTACCAACATAAAAGAACTTTGTTTAATGATAAGATTATAATTATAATTTAATTTAGAACTTAAAGATCAAATAAACATGTTTACCTTTAGAGCAAGTGACAATTTCTGCCTTCTCTTTTTTTTTGGGAGAGAGACACATCATAGTAGCTGGTTAAAAATGTAAAAGTAAATAAATATACAACAGAGAGGAAAGAGCTTCCTTTGCCCACACTGACATTTGATCCTATTGGCTGTTGTGATTCATGCAATGTTGTTAATGATGCAACAAAGTTACCTCTTATATGATGATATCATAGATGCTTGTAAACAGATGGTTGTAAACAGAATCATTGCATTGTGGACAAATGAGGCTGAGAAGGAGAAGAAAGTGACACCCCAAAGCATCAGCAGCCAAAGGAACAAAAATTTGCCAAATGGCATCAAAGCAATGCACATGTATCTAGGTGGGTATATTTTGGGTAACCACTTTGGCTGTGTCAATAATCTATTTCTGAAAGGAATGAGAAAAATATATTTTGAACCTCCAGTGTAACTCATTAAGGAAAGTCTGATGTCTGATGTTTGGGACTACATTAATCTCTGTTAGTATGGCCAGTGGCTTTGAATGACATAGAATCATAGGATTTAGATAACATTGTTTGAAATGTGTGTAAAGTTTTGGGAAAGGCTTGGGAAGAAGAGGTTGTATTTTGGTGTAAGAAAACCAGGATGAATTTCTTATCTTTGAGCCTTTCTAGGCATCTATGGTCAAGTCAGAAATTCTCAGCTTAAGTTGTTTGACCCATTGGATGGCGAGGGTAAGGTGAGGTTTTATTTATGTATGATCACCATTCCCTTCCCTTTCTTTCTGCTGGCTCAACACTTCCCTTATAGTTCAGGTCTGGTACATGTTTATGAGCCTTAGTTGCTGGGAGATAGTTGACTTGATAGTACTGCAGTTTAAACTGTTTCCACCATGTTGCATTGTTTGGTATGTTTTGTCATGTTTAAATAATGATAATGATGATAATAATAATAATAATAATAATAATAATAATAATAATAATTCCATTGTGAAGTCATTTGACGAGACTCTTGTTTTTCTCCAGAAGAAGCTGTGAATGAAGTGAAACGCCAGGCCATGTCCGAAGTCCAAAAGGCTGTGGCAGAGGCTGAGCAGAAGGCCTTTGAAATGATTGCTTCTGAAAGAGCCCGCATGGAGCAGACCATTGCAGATGCAAAGCGACAGGCCACTGAAGACGCTTTCCTAGTGATCAATGAGCAGGAGGAGTCTACCGAGGTGAGGAGACAATGGAAACTTTGCCGAGTCTTAACAGCACAGGTGAAAAGTCCTAAGGCAAGATCATGAAGATGGCTGACATGACTTTTCAGGATTCATCAAACCACTTTATTCGGGTTAGATTAAATTCTGTTATGTCTGATCTTGACAAATCGGAGGGTGACTTGGTGTTGTCCAGATCTTCAAGAGAGGACCCAAACAATTACCATCCAGTCAGCCTGACATCAATACTAGGAAAGATTCTGGAGCATATCATTAAGGAGGCAGTCTGCAGTCACTTAGAAAGGAATGCTTTGATTACTGAAAGTCAACATGGATTTCTCAAAAAAAAGTAATATCAAACGAATCTTATCTCTTTTTCTGATAGAGTTCAAGCTTAGTAGATGCAGGGAATGCTGTGGATGTAACATATCTTTATTTCAGTAAGGCTTTCAACAAAGTCCCCCATGACCTAGTCAAACTAGTCAAATGTGGGTTAGGCAATACTGCTGTTAGGTGGACCTGTAATTGGTTAAGCGACTGAACCCAAAGTGTTCTCACCTCTTCATCCTGGAAAAATGTTACTAGTGGAGTGATGTAGGGTTCAGTCCTGAGCCCAGTACTGTTCAACATCTGTATTAATAACTTGGATGAAATTAGGAGGGATAGCTAATACTCCAGAGGACAGGATCAGAATTCAAAATGACCTTAACAGATTAGAGAGCTGGGCCAAAACTAACAAAATGAATTTCAACAAAGGGAAAATGTAAAATACTATACTTAGGCAGAAAAAATTAATTGCAAAGATACAAAATGAGTGATTTTTGGTTCGACAAAAGTCCACATGAGAAAGATCTTGGAGTCTTCGTGGACAACAAGTGTGATGCAGCAGGAATAAAAGCCAGTGGGACTTTGGGATGCATCAAAAGGAGTATAGTATCTGCATCAAGGGAAGCCATGGTGCCTATCTATTCTGCTTTGGTTAGACCTCACCTGGAATACTGTTTTCAATTATGGACACCACAGTTGAAAAGAGATATTGACAAGCTGGAAGGTGTCCAGAGGAGGGCGACTAAAATGATCAAAGGTCTGGAGACCATGAATCTCTGTGAGGAGAATCTTAAAGAGCTGGGTATATTAGCCTGCAGAAAATAAGGTTGAGAGGAGACATGATAGCCATGTATATGTGAAGGGATGTCATAAAGAAGAGGGAACAGACTTATTTTTGCTGCCCTTGAAACTACAACTAGGAGCAATTTGTTCAAATTACAGGAAAGGAGATTCCACCTGAACATTAGGAAGAACTTTTTGACCATACGAGGTGTTCAACACTGGACTCTCTGCCTCAGAGTGTGGTGGAAGCTCCTTCCTTGAAACGTTTTAGCAGAGGCTGGATGGTCATCTGTCAGGGATACTTTGATTGGGCTTTTCCTGCATGGGAGAGGGTTGGAGTAGATGGCCTATGTCGTCTCTTCCAACTCTATGACTCTGTGAAAGAGTTCTTTGATAGTAGCCTCTAATCCAGAGTCACAGATCTATGGTGTTCCTCAACCATCCGTGAGAAACAAGAGGAATCTACATGATGAACAGGTGTCTTATCGATAATAATAAAATTATTGTTAGTAATACTGCTACAATTTGTAATATATATTATTTGTGTTTTGTAGCTGCCATAACGGAAATATATGCTCAACAGCAGTAATACAATTTTTCACAGCTAATATACTCAGCTCTCCACCTTTTTGGGTTTCACTTTTGCAGATGTGATTAAGATGTTTTCTCTGGGAATCTCAAGATCCTTCAGCACAACTTTGTTGCCAACCCCAGAAAATGTGGCAGTATTAGTATTTTTGTTTGTCCTTTAACAATGATTGGTTGGACTTAAAATGGGAAAAGCTGAAAAGCAATGCCAGTGGGCACAGGGTCATCAGTCACAGGTGCCACCTCCTAGTTTTGAAGAATTTTGGCAGCTGGTAGAATGCAGTCAAATACACCTTTATAAGATACTTTGTCCCAACAAAAAACACTCTTCCTCCCACTTTCTTCCATGAACCCCTGAGTGTAGCAAACAATGCATAAGTGATCAGTTAATCGTTGGAATACTCAAGTGTTTCCTCCTGCCATTGCAAATTTGTTACACATTGTAAACCCACTTGCTAATGTCCCAGTATCCCGTTGAGTAATCTGTCTTGGAAGGTTTTCACGTGCTTCTTCCAAAGGAGGTTGTTCAAATCCTCAGAATGCCGAACTAGCTGAAGGTTGACTTGTGAAGTATTGCTGCTTATGTTCATATCAGATCTGCTTAATGGAACTATGAGTTGATATTTGTTATCCCATTTTGATTGTTTCACTTGGGATTAGTTGTCAATAGGCTGTCACACAAATAGAATTTGAAAAACTTTTCCTTCTATTATAGAGCACATTTCATGTAAAATGTAAAAGTGTTTTTCCCACCACCTGGAAATTGGAGCAGTTCCTTATGTAGCACTTTCTTGGACATTTTAGTGATCCTTGAAATGATAATCAGACTTCTTGATTGGCAAGCGGCTCTAACAAAGATGTTCTTTCCTTGCTTTTCCAGAGCTGCTGGAACTGTGGTCGCAAAGCCAGCGAGACGTGCAGTGGGTGCAACATTGCCCGCTATTGTGGCTCCTTTTGCCAACACAAAGATTGGGAAAAGCACCATCGGATCTGTGGGCAGAGCTTGCACAGCCAGGTCAAACCAATCCCTTTACCAGCAGGGCGGTCTGCATCAGCTGCTGTGAAAGCAGTCGATGGGATAGCAAGTCCAACTCTGGAGAAGACGTCTACCACCACCTCACGATCCTCCACCCCAGCCTCTGTGACAGCAATAGATTCAAATGGTCTCTAAAAAAGAAGGTTTCATTCAGCACATTTTTATTTGTTTTCTACATTTTAAAATAAAAACACCTCAAAACATGGTCAAAAGTTTGTCCTTCAGCACAAAGGCATTAACGTTATTCCGTCTGGTGCATTTTGATGTGATTTTTTGGAATTCATGTCCACCCTCCAGAACTTGGATCTCAGGTTTGTCTTCCTGATTTCCTGGAATCCATGAGGACTTTGGGCCTGTTCTTTTGTTTCATCTAAAGTTCTTTAAAGGAGATTTTATTGTTATCCCGTCATGCTTCTTAATAGATCCGTCTCCATTTTAATCACAAAGCATAGCTGTTGAGGCAGATTCTCCTTTCAGTTTGATACTTCGATTCATTGTACAGTCTTAGACTGTCGACACACACAAACTCCATCACTCTGGGCTTGAACATACTGGGATAGAACAAGTGGGCCATTATTAGAAACTGTTTTCTTAGGGAAAAACTCAATCGATTGAAAATGAGGGATAAGTAGAAGAGAATTTATTCTACCTATTTCCATCTTCTTTCCTTCCATCCTCCATTTAAGGTCATGTATGGATTTTTATCAACATCTCACCACTCCTTTAATTTTCCCCACCATCCTCAGTCTGGACACATGGGATGGAAGGAGGCAGCAGAAGGATGCTATTTTTGTTTGTTAAAAGGAGGATCTAAAACTGCTTCATGTAATGACTCACCAGCTATCTCACATGACCCATTTAATCCCATCTAGTTAGAGAGCAGATGGTTTATGTTATACTTGGGGTTTGACAGATTGAAATGTTCAATCCAAAGATGTTTGCAAAATGTCTTCCTGCTCTTTGCCATTTTTTAAATTGGTTTCTTCCTCGTGTAGTCTGTGAAATGCGCACTAATGGGTTTCTGTGCGCATGCGCAGTGATTTCGGAACATTCTAGCTAAAAAGAGTTTAGGCGGGAGTCCCGCCCACCCTCCCAAATGGTATAAAAGGCAGTAGGCGGAGTTCCGCGTCAGTTCTTCTTTCCGCGCGACAGCAGAAGCATTTCGGACTTTCCTCCTCTTCTTACTTACCTGATTCCTTGTGTATTGACTCGGACTGAACTCGACGACTCTCCCTTCTCCTTCCCTGACAACGGACCGACCACGGACAGGCTAGCATGTCGACTTTATCTTTTAAAAAGTGTTCGGCTTGTGGAGCTAACCTCCCAGAAGCCGATAGACACTCCAAGTGTCTTTTGTGCCTTGGGGAGTCCCATAATCGCTCTGCCTGCGAGATCTGCAGAGCTTTTACATCTCGGGCTCAAAAGAGCAGGGACTCCCGTTTAAAAGCGCTCCTATATGAGCAAGCATTGGCCCCTGAGGAGACTCGCCAAGCCGCGCCAAGTCTCTCTCAGCAACTCCCACCCTCCCCTCTCTCCGGAGAGCGGCCGGGTCCCTCCTCCATGCAGCTTGAGGAAAGCCCTGCGGCCTCGACTCCTCCCCTTGGGGAAGAACCGCCGCCGAAAAGACCCAGGGCCTCCAAACAAACTGCTCATAAGAGCAAGTCTAAGGAAAAACAAAATAAGAAAAAGGGACGGCAACTCTCTGGCGCACAGCCCCTGAGTCCCTCCTCCATGCAGCTTGAAGAAAGCCCTGCAGCTTCAACTCCTCCCCTTGGGGAAGAACCGCCGCCGAAAAGACCCAGGGCCTCCAAACAAACTGCTCATAAGAGCAAGTCTAAGGAAAAACAAAATAAGAAAAAGGGACGGCAACTCTCTGGCGCACAGCCCCTGAGTCCTCCCCCGCCGGTACCGCCGGCCCAGCTGCTTGAGCTCTCGCCCACGGAGCAAACTGCACCTCAATTCTTGGAGCTCCAGGAGCCCCCGGAACTCCTTCCGATCGAGCTCCTTAACTCCCAGCTGGATCCTAACCTCCCCGCCTCTCCCTCCTTCCTCCAGCCGGCTCAACCTCCCAGGGAGCACCCTTCTTCCCCGGTACCGGCCCCTTCCACCTCTCAGAGGGATCGTGGCCACTCTCGGCCGAGCCGCTCCTCAAGACGCCGGTCCCGATCCGCCTCCTCCTCCCATTCCCGATCCCGGTCCCGCAGTCCTCCTTCTAAACGCCCGCGCGGGCGCGATCCGCGCTTCTATTATCCTTATGATTATCCCTTTCCTCTCTATCCCCCACCTCCCTTTCCATACTACCCTTTCTACCAGGGAGAATATCCGAAGGATCATACTCCTCCCCCTCATCCCTATCCTCAACCTTACCTCCCTCCTTCTGCCACTGTTTCCAGGCCCCCTCCTGAACCTCCCGCCCCTCAACTCCAAGGGGCAGCACCCCCGGATCCCACTACCCCTCAGCAGGATCCTCCCCCTGATATAGACACTGTGGATATCGATCATCAGGGACAAAGCAAACTGCATTCTGATAGCTCCATGGTGGCCCAGGCAACCGTGGTTTGCTCCTCTCCTTCACGCATCACGAAGAACCTTTCTTCGTCTGCGATCCAGCCCGGATCTCCTCACTATACAAGACGGACGGATCTGCCATCCAGATCTCCCAACTCTACGCCTCACGGCGTGGAGGATCAGACTATGAGCCACTTCTCTGAGGCCGCACGGCTCATCATCCAAGCAGCTCAAAAGACTTCCACCAAGAGATCCTATACCTATAAATGGTCAAAATTCAAGTCTTTCACTCACCCCTTGGGCTTTGAGCCTGTACAGCCCCAGTTCATATTGTTCTAGATTTTCTAGTTCACCTTTCTTCCCGGGGTTTTTCCTTATCCTCAATCAAGTGCTATCTCGCAGCACTCTCCTGGTATAGGAGAAAATCGGGACTACCGTCCCTCTTTCAAGATCCGTTAATTCAGTTATTCGTTAAAGGTTATAAAAATGTTCATCCCCCAGTTTCCCCCCCACCCCCGGCTTGGAGCCTTGAGTTTGTATTGTCTCAACTTTCCAAACCTCCCTTTGAACCTATGGCTTCCTGTGACATTTCCCATCTCTCCTGGAAGACGGCGTTCTTAGTGACCATTACTTCCGCAAGGAGGGCCAGTGAACTCGCAGCTCTCCGTTCAGACCCTCCCTTTATTAGGTTCCATGAAGACAAAGTGGTCCTTCGGACCGACATTACCTTCCTTCCCAAAGTTGTATCTAAGTTCCACATGTCCCAAGACATCACTCTCCCTGCCTTTTTTCCAAAACCTTCCTCTCCCCTGGAAGTTGCACTCCACTCGCTGGATGTCAAGAGGGCCCTCTCCTTCTACATCTCCAGGACAGCCTCCTATAGGAAATCCCCAAGACTTTTCCTGAAATACAGGAAAGACGCCTTGGGTTCTCCAGTAACATCTCAAAGGCTCTCATCATGGATAGTGTCCACAATTCGCCTAGCTTACAGTTTGGCAAATAAGGATCCTCCTCCAACTATCCATGCTCACTCCACGAGGTCTCTCTCAACATCTCAAGCCTTCCTCCATGGTGTCTCAGTCCACGACATCTGCAAAGCAGCAACATGGACAACACCTTCCACTTTTGCCTCTCACTACAAGCTCGACATCCTCGCCAAGAGAGATGCGGCCTTCGGCAGAGCAGTTCTTTTCTCCTGTGTGGCATGACCCACCTCCAGGTTGGTAGCTTTACAGTCACCCATTAGTGCGCATTTCACAGACTACACGAGGAAGAAATATGGGTTGCTTACCTGTAAACGTATTTCTTCCAGTGATAGTCTGTGAAATCCGCACGTCCCGCCCGTCCTCCCCTCTCATGTCATGCCTCTTTTCCTGGCTGCTGTCTGGCGGCAAGGAACTGACGCGGAACTCCGCCTACTGCCTTTTATACCATTTGGGAGGGTGGGCGGGACTCCCGCCAAAACTCTTTTAGCTAGAATGTTCCGAAATCACTGCGCATGCGCACAGAAACCCATTAGTGCGGATTTCACAGACTATCACTGGAAGAAATACGTTTACAGGTAAGCAACCCATATTTATCTTGTTGTAACTGTTCTGTCTTTGCCTAGGAGCTGTTTGCTAGAAATATATTATTTGAGGTTCATCAGTGTACACATTAGGTGCTGGTCTTTTAATTTCTGTTCCAGCCTTTCAGAGCATGCTTGCTAAACCAAGCAGAGTTTTGGCTAGCTATAATAACCTACACAAGCACCAAAGGCTGATACAGTTCTCTTTCTTCTCTCATCGTTGTATATGTATGTTGACTCCAATTAAAAGTTTCCTACAGGGAAAATCTTGCATTGTGATACCTTGCCAAAGCATTTGATTGTGGATCCGAGTTCTGCCCCTTCCATCTTTTCATACCTGCTGCATACTTCTGTTGTATTTTGGAAAATATCTGTAGATTAGCAGCTGGGTAAAAACAGTCTCCCCATCTCTAAAGTTGACTGTGATCATATAGAGCAGTGGTTCTCAACCTATGGGTCTGCATATGTTTTGGCCTTCCAACTCCCAGAAATCCTAAACTGGTTGAGATTTCTGGGAGTTGTAGGCCAAAACACCTGGGGACCCACAGGTTGAGAACCACTGATATAGAGTCAATCCGTTGTTCAAACCTGGGCTGAGCAACCCATAACCCTTCAGCTAGTGTTTGAATTACAACCCCTATTATCGTTCTCCATTGGTTTTGCTATTTGGGAGTTGCAAATTGTCACTATTTGGAGGACCACAATTATCCCAACATTTGTGGAAGAATTTAAATCACGGACTTGTGGCACCTCATTTTAAACATGCCAAATTGCCAAATGGACATAAAGACCAGACCAAAGTTAACAAAGGGCAATCACCAAATGCCACACGTGGAACTATAGCTTTGATACCTTGATTGTGCAAGATCTCAGGGAGCTGGACAAGAGGGGAGAAGGTTATCCTCCCAAACATCAAGGCCCTCAAGTATGAGTCATTCCTTTCCCCAAAGCTGCTTTTAGCCCACACCACATCCACACACACAAACATAAGGCATTGGGAAATAATGTTTACACATCTCTGAAATCATCTTTAGTTTAATCCTTAAAGGAGTTGCTTTGTAAGAAGGTTTAACTTTTGAGGCATTATTGGGATTGGTTCACACATACACTATGTAGGAGGAAGTACACGGTGCTCTCCCACTTTTAGTTTTGCAGC